TTCTGGTGGGTGTAGCAAGAGTTTCTTGTTCTCCTGGTGGGTATGGGAGCAACGTTCTCTTCTGTTAGATGCAAACAGATCCAATACTCTGATGTCGGTCCTCTTCTCATGGATGGAAGTGTCACTGTTTCCCTGGTGTTGGCAGTGTTGAGGAATGCCAGGTCCAGCCGGGCCGGCAGTTGGAGGCAGAGCTGTCACCAGGCCTCGGGCACGCAGGTTGCCTGCGTCAGATGACCTTGCCTGCCCTCTTAAGGAGCAAAGAAACACAAACATGGTGTCTATGATGAAGCTGCCATTGCTGCTTCTCCTAATGCTGCTTTTCCTCCTCCTCCTCCTCCTCTTCCTCCTCCTCCTCCTCCTCCTCCTCCTCTTTTTGAGCCAGGATCTTGCTCCTCCTCCTCCTCCTTCTCTTCGTCTTCCTCCTGCTCTTCATATAGCAGTTATCCCATGCTTAGCAGGGAAGACAGTGCAATATTCTAAGGTTTTAATGCCAGGTACAGCTCTTTTTGCAATCTGTATCTGTATGATATTGTCAAACTTTGCTTCTGTAAATATTAACTTCTGATCTTTGTCTTTAGTCCAAATCAATATTTAAATCTTATTTCTCATTATAACATAAAAATAAATGTATTTGAACGTTTTCTAAAGATATTTAGAACTTTCTCGCTATATTGTGTTAATTTATACAGGAAATGGGCTGTAGCCTCTTTCTCTCACTCTTTCTCTTCCTTTTATTGAAAATAGATTGTTTTCCTCACATAATATAACCTGATTACAGTTTCCCTTCTTTCTATCCCTCTTTCCTCCTTCCCCTCCCATCTGGATCCACTCCCTTTCTGTCTCTTATTATAAAATAAAATGGTGTCTAGAGACACCTGAGTTGAAAGCAATTGTACTGCCCAGACTAAAGCAGTGGTTGAGGTTTTACAAACTTTACAATATTGCCTAGAAGCAAGAGAGACCCTCCTGGAGTCTAAGGTCCTTGTCAAACAGAAATCATTAAGTCAAACCCTGAAACCCTCCTGTTTCTCACGTCCCCTCAGCTAGATCCCAACCCTGCCTTTTACACATCCTGGACGGTGTCCTCTCTCACTCCACATCTCTCATCTCCACTCTGCTCTCTAAAGCTCAGTGAAAGTCACTCTGGAAGGCCATGATGTTACAGCACAGAAGGAGACTCAATAGATCATCCCTGCGGTAAAATCCATTCCACACCCGGCCTATAATTGAGAAGGTCTCCAATGACATCATGATCTGAAAGGTGAGACCTCCCACAAGCTCACACACACACACACACACACACACACACACACACACACACACACACACACACACACACCCGCTCTCTCTCTCTCTCTCTCTCTCTCTCT